ATTATTTTTTATGGAATTTCAACTCTTTAGTCAGATTCAGAGCTTGGATGTACACATTTTCTGCATCCTGGTTAAGGTATGGAATAGAAAAATAAGAGATAAAATGTTCCTTGTCATTACTGAAATGCTCACAAGAGTCCCTTGTGGTATTTTTAGTTTGACTCTTATACATGACAGAATTGAGGCTTAGAATAGTCGTCTGTTACAGTTGGCACAGTTTGCAAGTGCCAGAGGTGAATACTCCTCTTCCCCTTTCTTTCTTACTAGCATTATTGAGGTATGATTTACACATTGTGAAATTCGCTAGTATAAGTGTCTTACTTTCTCATCCACTGAGACACAGTGTTTGACACCCACAAATTAATGGAGGACAGGTTTATTTTGGCTCACAGTTCGTCAGCCCATAGTCAGCTGGCTCCAAGGGAGGTAGCATGGCAGAAAATAGCTTATGACATGGCACATAGGAAGCAGATAGAGATCTGGGAGGAGGGAAGGAGTGGACCCTTCTAGAACACACCCGCGGTGGCCCACCTTCTCCGACCAGACTTCATCTCCCAGCATCGCATTTAACTCCATTCTTATCGGTGGATTATCTTCCTGTGACCCAGTAGCTTCTCCAAAGTACCACTTGTGAGTGCGCATTAGGCATCAATCGGCGGGGGCGGGCAGGGCGGGGGTGTCCAGATATAGACCTTACCGTTAAGTGTTCACCTCAGTGATTTTTAAAGTAAATACACAGAGTTGGGCAGCTGTTTCCACAGTCTAGTTTTCGAACCTTTTTATTACCCAAAAGGAAAAGTGACATCTATTTAATGTTAATCCTACTTTTCAACTTCAGGTTGAGGTATGATCTGCTTTCTGTCTTTAGAGTTAGATTTTCTGGTAGTTCCATATAAATTGAATCACATAATATGTAATCTTTTCTGTATGTTCTTTCTTAGTGTCCTTACAGCTTTTGAGGTTCATCCTGTGTTTCTCCAAATATACAACCTAACTAGAGATCAAAAGTGCCAGTCCCAGTCAGCCTATCCTTGCCTTACCTACTGTTGCTGAGAGGCCCCTGGGCAAGAGAGTGGTGACGTTCAGTCTGCATGGCACTGGCCACCACTTGCTGATGACTAGCTGTTAATTATGCTTGCTAATGACTAGCTGTTAATTAGCTAATGACTAGTTTATTCTCCTGTTAGGTCTTATTTTCTGGGAAACACAGGTATGTTGCAGCATGTATCAGTTCGTTTCTTTTTATTGCCAGATAATTCTTTCACTGTACGGTTATATCACAGTTTATTTATTCCTTCATCAGTTGGTGAACAATTGGATTATTTCCAGTTTTTGGATAGTATAATAGTGTTAAAATATTCTTGTAAAAATCTTTATGTCAACGTATATTTTTTATTTTTCTAGAAAAGGCAGTTAGGGATGGAATCACTGTTCATATACATCTACATGTTTCCAAAACTAACAGTTTCACAAAACAACTGTATCATTTTATATTCCGGAGCACCAGAGCACCGCATGATTGTTCTGTTTTGTATGCCTCAGCAGATAGCTGTTTCTGTCAGTGATTTTTTCTATAATCATTCTCATAACTATGTAGTGTAATTCTTTCCCTTTGTATGATACATCTTTATTTTCTTATTGAAAGGCAACAATTTTTAATTCAGATGAATTAGTTATTTTTTAATGAGTGAGTTCTGCTTTTAGCCTCATATTTAGAAATTTTATTTCTCTACCTCTGAAATTTCCACGTAAAAGTTTGTATTTTTTAAATTAGTCATCACCAGTTATTTAATTGTATCATGTATTCTTTAAGCATAAATCCTTTCAGTTCTTTGAATATATTTATGGTAACCTTTTTGGAAATAATTGTTTGCTAAATCTAAGATCCACTTTTATTCAGATACACCTTGTGGTAGCTCCTTTTTTTGCCTCTTTGTATTGGTCACAGTTTGTTGTTTGTTGGCTTATAAATTGTTGTAGAGCTTTACATTTTACATAGTATGCTGTAAATCATAGTACCTCTGTATTCTGAATTTTTCATTTTCCCCCAGCAGGGGCTTGCTGTGTAGTCCAGGCTGAGCTGGGATAGCCATCCTTTTGCCTCAGTCTCTTAAATACTGGGTTTATGGTCATGTGCCACATGCCAGCCCTCCTCAGCTTCTCAGAAATTTTTATTTTTATTTTTATTTTTACTTTGCCTTTTGTGTCTGTACCTATGATTGCAGAGTTGAGTGCTTCATTAATGATTGGTTTCAGGTTGTATACAAACACTTTGACCCAATAGGCTTTACACCCTTTGTTGTGGATATGTGTTTTTAGGGATCACATTCAAAGTGCTGTACATTTTTATGTTTGCCACTTTTTTCTGTTGGGCTGTCATGTTTTCCTGTGTGTGCATGTAGGTGGTATTTTGCTTTTGTTTTGTGATGCTGGTGAGTGCTAGGCAGGTGCTCTATCTCTGATCTACACCCCTGTGCCTGGAGGCAGATTTTCTGTTGGCTCAGAGATGTGTGGTAAACTTGTCTCTCATATTTGTGAGTTTGCTTCTATATTCTCAGCTTCCCAATTAGCTCGCGTTTTGTAATGAGCTTTGACATTTGGGATTTAGCCTGTATGTACGTGCAGCGTTCTTGTCAGCCAGAGTTGTGTATATGGCTAGTACTTTTCTCAGGATTTGTAGAGAAAATCAGGTCCTTCTATGGCTATCCTATTTCCAGGCTCTCCCTGTTTAATTTCTACCTAGTCCTCTGATTTATGTCTTGCTCTAATGACTTCAAGCTTAAAGAACTTCATATTTTCCTTTTTCCCACTTCCTGTGAGTTTCCTCCCTGGTACTCCAAGTCAGAGTCAAGACTTCTGTTTTGGCAGTGAAGCTGCTGGTTTTTAATCACTTTGATGGAACATCCACATTTAGGGTAGATGATGAAGCCATTCCCTAGTAAGATGGCAAGGGTTGCACCATTCTTGCCCAGAAGTTCTGTTGTTTGACATGACTAAACTCTTGTTTCCTTCCTTTGATTGCATTAAGAGCACAAAAGTCATTGTTTTTAATTGTCTTATCCAGCTTTATCTTTGTTTTTTGAGGACAAATTTTGTGTTTCCCTGGGAAGCCCAACTTCAGAACTTGGATTTTAAAACCTAGGAATATTAGATTTCAGTTCCAAATTTTTTTTTTCTCTAATTCATGCTTTTAGGGATAGAGAATGAGTGACTTAAAAAAATAAGATGACAAAGAGGGTTGATTTAAGACTCACCTCTGTGTAGATGGATTTGCAAGCACATATTGAGGTTAATTAAAGGGTTTGATGGCTCTAGAGGAGAGCAGATTTGTTGTTTCTTTAGAGTAAGTCAGCTCTTATTGATGAAAACACCGTTGAGTGAAGTGTTCTTCACTTCATAGCAGTTTTATGAAATAGGTTGTAAAGTGTGATTATTGTAGAGATAAGGAAACACTTTCTCAGGTTAGACCTGAGAAGCTTGTGTCTGGTAGGGTGGGACTTGGGCCCACTTCTTTTGACTTCTCCTTGTTCTTTACACTCTAGAACACTGTTTCTCTACCATATCATAATTAGTTGCACATTCTTTGATGGTCTTAGTGTATTTATTTAGGTAGTTCTTGAGGTTAGACTAATTCATGACAATCTTCTGAATTTTTTACTTCAATTGAAATTCTTTTTTTTAAATTAATAATGGTGCTTAACTAAATGAAGAGTTCCTATTTGTTGAAGACAGCTGTTTAGCACGCTATAGCCCCTGTTGGTTGCAGGCAGTTATTTAGCAAACTAGCAAGAATCAGAGAATGAGAGATATCCCGTGGCAGCTTCCTCTGCCAGCTTCCTTTTTTTTTCTTACTTCATAGATGCAGATTCTGCCCAAGAAGCCCCTGCATTGCAGAGGGACTGGAGATCTGTATGTTCTGTTTATTTCGCAGTTGACAAGGGTAAGGGGGTCTTTTTCTGGGGGAGGTACTTGGGTGCCCTGAATTTAGTTTTATGTAGCTTAGCCAAACTTTATTTTGGAATTAGTTAAATTTAGTATTAAAAAGTTTCTTTTATGAATTCTGTTTGTCTGATATCAGTTGATTGTCACATTACATATTAAAAAGCATTTATTAGAATTTTTTTAAAAAGTCCTGTTCTGAACAGATCAGACAAATAAGATTCATGCTTCGAAAATTCTAAATCTAGGATCATTTAGGATATTAATAATAGACAATTTATGTAAATAAGCTTTCACAATAAGACATTTTAAAGATTTTAGGTAAGCATAGCATATGATATTCTTTATTAATTATTCTTTTTTCCTTTTGTATAAATCTATCAATCTGTAGGGTATAATAAAAGGGACTTATGGATATATCACAAATGTTGTGTATGGGAATGGTCTCTTTTCTTGCTGCTAGCAATCGGTACATCTTGAATTCTTTGTTTATCCTGGATGCCAGTGAAATTTGAGTTTTAACTTCAGCCTCGCTTATATCTGTCTGATCAGTAGATAGGAGTAAAAGTGCAGGTAATAAATCTTACGGGAGCCAGGTTAAGTTTAGTAGGCTTTACTTGGCAGTTATAGAACAAGTGATAGAAATGACAACATTTATAACATCTGATTAAAATAGGCGAGGAAGAGTTTAATGCTCTTAATATTACAGAAGCATTGGATTGCTAATTGTAACCTGGTGAGTTGTTGAGATCTAGAGTTCATGATAGATTTAGGGGGAGTGTTCATTTTTGAGGATATTATCATACCTGTAAATAATTTTGTTTACCTGAAGTAATTTCTGTAACTTGAATAGATACTTTCAGTATTCTGTCCTCATATCTTTAACTCATCTTCTTTCAACATTTAATCTCTAGACTTAAAGAATTCAGCAGTAATATTTTATATATTACCATAACCACCGTTAATAATATTCCACTTTCCAGTGTCAATACATTTGGAAAACTTTTTATTCTTGGACATCTTAAATGACCTTTTTTTTTCTTTTTCCTGTTTTCTTTAAGCCATAAGGATGAGTTTACCATTATTCCTGTACTGGTTGGAGCTCTGAGTGAGTCAAAAGAACAGGAATTCGGAAAACTCTTCAGTAAATATCTAGCGGATCCTAGTAATCTCTTTGTGGTTTCTTCTGATTTCTGCCATTGGGGTAAGTTCTAGATTTTAACATATTGTGGTAGATATTATATATGTGTGTCATTCTAAGCTCTAATTTTCAGTTCTTTATCACTCTCCTTGGAAAGTTTTACGTATAGCTGCAGTGTTTAACAGTGAATAAAAAAGATTTTGGGTCATAAAAGGTCAGATGATAGTAGTGTATTATAGATACATTTCCAAAGGCGACTGGTATAATTGGATTCACATTGTGAGGGCATCCTTGCTTTACTTATGTTAGTGGAAGTTCAGACCTTTGAATCCCATTTCCACCTATGTGTGTATGGTAGATTCTCTGAAGTTTTAGTGAATAAAACAAATATTCTTCTTTGGAATGTAGAAGAGTTCTGTGTGCTATGCTAGTCTGTTCCAGATTTCTTTTTTTGTAATTAGTCTTTCTTTTGGTGCTTATTTTTTACGCACAATTGCCTTTATCTTAAAGCTATCTGCATTAGCACTATGGTCTTCCTTGGAAATGATGGTAAAGACTGTTAGGTGATTTTTGTGATTATTGTGAATTAGAATAGTAAAGAGTAAGGCTACTTCTCTATAAATAAACTATGATGACATCATGGATTCCTCTTGTAGTAAATTTTATTTTCATGTTCTTTGGTTGCTATTTGCTCTCATTTATCCATTACCCAGAAATAGATATCTTTGCTCTTAGGACATCTCTTTGGCTTATTTATTTACTGGGTTAAGGATGCCAATGTTTATTCATTCATCAGCTATTACTTTAATTATAAGAAAATATGAACCATAAGACTATAATTTTTAAGGTAGAATGCTAAAGTCCAGAGAAACATAAGACATAGGGACTGTGGTTTTTTTTTTTTTAACATGTCTTATCCTTTGATTGCCAGAGTTGATTCAACATGTATCTGGCTTGATTAGGGTTTCTCTTATATTCTTCTCTGAATGGCCATCTTAACGTTCAGATCTCAGTTCAAGAGAACTATCTTTCATGATAGTACAGGTGTTTTGGGTGTGTATGTAAGGTACTGTTTCTCCACTAGGGATAATTTTCCAATTAGATAGTATTTAAAAATACCTGGAAATTTTGTTATCATCACAAGTGGCATGGGGTTTGAGGGCTGGTGATGTTACTGGTATCAAATGAGTAGAGTCCAGGGAAACTGCTAAGTGCATATTGTATAATGCACAGCACAAAATCTACCTGTCACCCCACAGTTCAGAAAATACCTAGCTCAAAATGTCAATAGTGCTAAGTTTGGAGACCCTATATTTGGGGTGCACAAGTAGTTAAGCTTCTTACGAAACTCTCACAGAAGATTCCATTGGCTAATTGGTAGTACTGCATTTGGCAGAAGTGCTTTTTTAAAAAAATGGATGTAAATGTATTAGATCTGAGGGCCCAGATAAAAAAAACTTCTTTCTTGGGAATTTAGAAATATAATAAGTCTTAAAAACAGATTATCAAATACCTTTACTAAAAAGGGCCACTTTTCTTAGTATTATGTTTGTGTTGATAACAAGGAATATATGTTGATATATTGGCTTTGTTTTTCATTTTTTGAGATGTGGTTTCGCTATGTAGTTGAGGTTGGTTTCGAGTTCACCTTGTAGCTCTGACTGGAATCAAGCTCGTGGTGATCCTTGTCCTTAGCATTCCAACTCCCAAACGATAAGATTACAGATCTATACCACCACATCCAGCTGCAAATCAAAATTTTTTGAAGCAAGTACCCTGTTAGTTTTCATTTTGAAGGCTCTTATGAATGACTTAATTTAAATAATTAGTCCCTGTAATACTGTTTTGGAATCTGGGCTCTTTCTCTAGGTGGGCAGCCTGTACCACTGCAACATAAATCCATTTAAATAGCAGGAGATTTTTAATATGCTGTTTTCTGTGGAAACATTATTTTGTTAGCTCATTAAAGAATTCTAAAACAAACAAACTTTAGTCCACTCTTCTGTGTACTGTAATTTTTGAGAGAGAAATTCATTTTCTGTTACAGTCTACCTAGATTTTCATAAGTCCTTTTATGCCATTTTATCTCCTGATTTCTTGAAAATTTTGATATTTAAGTTGTAAGATAGATTTTCTAGGTGTTAACTTTAAGAAAAGAACTCAGTTATCAGAGTTACAGTAACTGAGAATTCTGTAGAAAGTAAAACATTTATATTTACATTTGGTGGTTAAGTAGAGCTTTTCCAGGTGTTTAATTTTTAGAGACACTATCCTTAACACTACTCATTAGATGTTTTACTTTATACCTGTGCAAAGCACTATGCCAATTCTTTCTCAGAAATTTGATGGTGTCTGGGAATTAGTGAATCATGTAACATGGATAATATTCCAAAATTGCTGGTGTCCTTGCTTCATCTCTACCATAGTAAATATTCTTGTGAAGTAAGGTAGTTTTCTGAATGCATGCTTATTGAAGTTAATATGAACCCTTGGCTAGCTATAGGTTATTAGCAATTAAGTTTTATGTTTCTCAAATGTATGCTGTAGTAGTGTTTGTTATCCCAAATTAGTGTGCTGTAATACTATTTCAAAAATTTAGTTGCTTCTCATGAAGAACATAGTAATTTTTTCTGTTTTTTAAGTTGATTTTTTTAACCATATGAAAACAAGTATAACACTGAATTCTAAAGAATTTCACAGAAATGATTAATTTCTTCAAGTGTACAGAGATATTACAAGGCTCATTGAGTTAGACTTTTAACACATTGCAATTTCAAATAGCTGATTTTTAAAGAAAAAACACGTAATTAATAATTTGATGTATTACTCTGACATTGAAGGTTTGCTTTTGTTGAACAACATTATGTTAGACTAGTTGACAGTGTCTATAGTTTCATTTCTAGCTATTCTCTTTATAGTTGGTCCAGCTCTACAAAAAAATGAAGTGAAAACTTAGCAGTGGAGCCCATTAGGATCTAACGTGTAAACTAGAGATACTTTTACTTATTGATCTTACTTGGTAGCCAGTGTCCATTATAAAGACGACTTTTATATGTGTTTTACTTTATAGATATTTTCTTTTCAGACTCCATTTCAATTCTATTTAGACTTAAAAAGAGATACTGGAAGCTAAAAGTAGAAAGACTAAAATACTGTTTACTTTTTGTGTTAAACCAAGGCAAGGGAGAGAGAAGAGCCTGGATTCTGTTATTTGTCCTTCTTTCTGTCCAGTCATTTAAGCTTCCCAGAACGAAATCTTGTATTTTATTTCCTGCCTCTTACATCATGATCACTCTTACATGGAAATGCATTATTCATGGCAGAGGATGATGTGTCTCATTCTAATGGTCTTACCTTTCTCCTTTGCTACTTGTAGGAGTTATGGGAGTCAATGAAAGGCATTTTCTGTCCTTGCCAAGTTCTTTTTTTGTTTGCTGTTTTTGAGACAAGGTCTTTGAAGTAGTCCAAGGTGGCCTTAAACTCACCATGTAGCCTATCCTGGTCTTGAACTCACAGTGATTCTCCTGCTTCAGCCTCCTGAGTGCTGGAATTAGAGAGTGCACTACCACACTTGGTGCCTTACCAAAATCTTTATCCTGTAGAATTTTGGGGAACTATTTTAATTTTTCTGATTAGTAAAATTTTTATGCTTTTTAGGGGGTTGGGGTGGAGTGGTAGTACTGGTAGTACTGGTAGTAGTGGTAGTACTGGTGACTGAACTCAGGACCTTTACTCTGGGCTATATCCTCAGCCATGTTATATTTTGTTGTGAGACAATATGTCAGTGAGCTGCCCAGTTTGGAGTTGAACCTGCTGTCTCCTGCTTCAGTCTCCCAGAGTGCTGGGCTCATAGCAATGCATTATTATGCCCTGTTTCTATATGTAGTGGTAGTATTTATATTTTTCTTTTCTGAAATATTTATTTCCAAATTTAGATTATTAACAATTTATATTCACATGATTTTTAGTAACTTGTGATAAGTCTCAAAGTGAGATTTGGTCTACAAGAAATTGGTTATTTAAAAATGGAGTCATGAGCCAGTGGTATAGCTCAGTGGCACAGGCATCCGTCTGGCAAGTGCAAGGTCATGAGTTCGATTCCTCGTACCAAAAAACAAAAGCAAAAAACCAAAAAACCCCTGGAGTCATGCGTTTATTTAATTGGCCTTTTTTGGAGATTTTGCAGATGAGTTGCATAAACTTGGTAAATATTTGTGATACATTATTTTGTTAAAATATAAATAAAGTTTGCTAAGATCCCAGAATTTTGAATTTAGGTTTATATAATTTTATAAATATGTGCCACTTATTGGCGCTCTCTCTCTCTGTATATATACACACATATATATGTATATATATACTTATTCAGGTTTTTAAAAAATATATATATTAATGATTATTTACACTCCTTTTTCCTGGTAGTCTTTGGGTACACGTGTGCCACTTTTAAAAAAATACATACATTGATATGAATATGTTAATAAAATATACTTTATCCAAACCTTCATATTTGTCTTCTCAAATATTTGTACATACTGGTTTCACTAACGCAGGTTTTTTTTTTTTTTTTTTTTTTTTTAAATACCTGAGATCGAACTCATGACCTAACACTTACCAGGCAAGCGCTTGAGCCACTAATTCAGGTTTTTGATATTTGCAGGGTTGAGATAGGACTGGTCTTTTACATATAACTAACTTCAGAATGAAAGGACCATAGCGTTTAGTTTTTAGAAATGATTTCTTTTAGCCCAGAGTGGTGGTGAATGCCTCTAATCCCAGGATGTGGGAGGCTGAGGCAAGAGGGTTGCTGAGAATTCTAGGCCAGCTAGGCTGCATAGCAAGACCTTGTCTCAAAAAAGCTTTTTTTTTTTTTAAAAACCTTATTTGATGCTACTTAGAAATATGAAATACATTTTTCTTCTGTTGCCATTTCATTTATAAATGTCCTCATTTGGGGCCTCATTATAGAGTTGCCTGATCTCTCAAAGATTTTGGTGAGACTTACCTCAAAATACTTGAAAGTGGTTTAACAAGTAAACCAAGTGAATAAGTAAGTGTGCAATGCAATTTTTTATTGGGCTGAACATCTGAAAGTCTGTTTCATCTTTTGGGGGCTTAGTAAGTCAGTAACTTTCCAACTTACTTCTGCAGTCTAGCGCATAGCTTAATACTGAAATACTTTATAACTTTTTGTTTCAAGGTAGTTAAAAAATAGTGTTGGTTCTTGTACCATTCATTGTTGTTCGTCCTCATTAGTTGATTGTGTGTGTTAAACAGACATTCCTGGAGCTTACTCTCCACACTCTGTGAATCCACTCATTAATCACCAGTCACCTTTGGAGATGGGAAAATTACTTACCTGTATTTCTTTTTCTCAGAAAGCGTGCTCTGGAATGGATTCACAAATGAGCTACCCTCCTTCCCTCAAAGAGTAAGGTTTCTGCTTTACAGGATTTTTTTTCTTGGGTTATTTTTCCTCTCATCTTTTGAATTTGAAAAGAACTGAGGGAAGGCACCTGAAGAAACTACTGACATACTCACTAGGGGAGTTCCAAAGCTTGTACTGCCCCTAGGGGCGGTGTCAATGGCTCTTAAAGCTAGAAAGCTCATACTTGGAGTTGAAACAGGGGCTCAAAGAATCCATTTTCCCAGTGTACCTTCTGAAAGGATAAGTTTCAGGTAAGTAATTTTCTCTTACTATGTGATATGTTTTATTCATTCTTATAAAAGTACCCAAGTCCGGTTCTCCAGGTACAGAGGCAATTAATTGTATTTGTTCACAGTTTAGATTCATAATTTTCCTGAAAATCAGAAATATAAAAATCTTGTAGAATAAAATGTTTGCTTATGAAATACATGAAGTCATAATTTATTTTAAATAAATAATAAGATTATATTAGGATCAGTATATTATGCCAGTCCTGGCATTTCCTTCATCCAATGAATAAATATTGAGAAACTTATTTTTTTAATATGAAACAAACTTGTCTTTTGAACTCAATTTCTAAGCAGTGGTTGGCTGAGGGGGTCTGTGCACATGCATGTGCACTTAACATAATAAACATGTGCATAACGTGCAGGCTAAGTAAGATGATGGCAACTATGCACTTAAAATTAGATGTATTTCAGTGTGTGTACACACAGAAATTCCTATATCTGTATATATATGACAATGTGTTATGTATTTGTATAATTTTTTAAAACTTATGAGACAGTATGAGGTATTATAAACAAAATATTCAGTATAGTAGCTGTATGTAGTAAGGCTTTGACTTAGCTCATATATTCTTTAGAGCTGTTCAAATAGTTATGCTCAATATTTAGATCCTAAATGTGAGGTGATTATAAAAATAAAAAAGTAGAATAGCAAAATATAGTAAACATTTGCTCAAATTAGTTTCCTTTTCATTTTGTCATTCTCATTAAATCATACATTAAATCAGTATTTCAGATATTTCAAATATTTTGTGTATGTTTCCTTCGGAAGTAATTAAGTGAAAGTTACAATGAAAATTGCCCATATAAACAGAGTAGCACTTTAAAATATTGTTAAACTTTCCACTTACTATCCAGGCAGTGTTGCTGTTTGAAACAGCAGCTCTGAACTAGGAAATAAGGGGAAAACACTTCTGAGCAGCAAACAGCTATCACAAAGTATATACCTTTTTCTTTGTACTGGGAAGTAGCAGTTTTCAGGTAGGAAAATTATGGTTCAGTCATAAGGGTTAGTTGACAGTAGCTAAAACTAGCAGCGATTACCAGAAGCTGGGAAAAACAGAATGTATTAGTTTAAATCAGAGTCAAGAAATGTATTTCTTTACTTGGTTTCCTCTAAGCATAGGGTTCTTTCTAAAATGTTCTTGCCCAAGATAGTCATTTAATTGTTAATTTGTGTTATAAAAGATATTGGGTAGCTTTATTAAAAAACTTTGAAACAGGTAAAAATTTAGCACCAGTGAGTTGAGTCTGTAAGTGATTATGACTGAACTTTAGGTTTGGCTTTGAGTGCCCTTCTGACAACCACCCGCAAGATCAGTTTTATAGTTCTTAACATTAGGTAATTCCTGTTAGTTTCTATTGTACGCTTCAAAGAAAGATAAAACTATACCTAACTTTAAAGTATGAGTGAAGTATCCGTTGGATTATTGAGTATAGCAGCGTTTGAGTGACAGATGGTCAGCTCATTTTAAGAATTCCTTTAGTTCAAAGCTTGCAGTAGGTCACATAAGTATGACAACATGTGGTAATTTTCATTGTTACATTTAGAAAGTAGAAATTTTGCACAGCTTCAATTACAGGATATCATCAGTTAAAAGACGTAATATTGATTTTAATGCTCTTGGGAAATTATTAACTGCTACATTGATTAATTATATATATTAAATTATTGAATATATAAAAATTAAGGAAACAGTATGTTTCAGGAAGGTAAAGGTCAAAGCTGATTAACAGCAAATGAATGCAATGTTACATTTTATGATATTTTTTTAAAAAAGATATCAAGGAGGGTTTTATAATTTTGCACTACCCAGTATTTATGACAGCATTTTTAATAAGATGAATAGAAAACTTAAAAATTGCAGTTATCCAGTCAAAGAAATTCAGTTTTTCAAAAGTGAGGATAGTATTTCGATATACTAATAGTGATTTAAACATGAATCATAAGACAGTGTGTGTACACAGTATATCTGGTACCATTATAAAATTTATTTTGGTGAAATTTTCAAGGTAGAAGAAAGGAATTGCTGAAAGATAGATGTAGGTGTATCTGAAATACATCATAGTCAATTACACTGTAATTATATTATTAGCTTGATTTTCATATAGTAAGAAACTATTTTCTGAACCTTTGTTTTCTGTCTCTTTTACGTTTTTCCATTTTACCTTCTCTGTTCTTTAGAGAAGAGCTTAATATTGAATATTCTGTGCTTGTAGTCTTACTGAGATTTTATGTCAGGGTAGGACTATTTATTATATTCATTTTTTGGGTATCTTGTTTAAGTCCCTTGTATTCATCTTTTTCATATAGTGTGAAATTGAGGTAGTTTTTTTTATTTTTCATTGAGGTCGTAAAACTCACACAAGCCACAAGGTATTGCTTATCTACGTATTTTTTTTTTCCTGCAGTAGAGGTCAGGTCTTTGCATTTGCACAGTAGGGAGCTGAACTTCCATTGATTTGTTTTACTGAGATAGTTTTCTTCAGCTCAGTTTTCTTAAATTATATTTTTTGGGTTTATTTTCCATGATAGACTGATACAGTGTTTTAACAATGCTTCTAACTTTTAAGCTGTTTGTTTCCTTAATCTTGTATTACTGGTGACTAAGGTTCCTACAATTTGCAAAAGTTTTTAACATTGTAAATCATTGGTGATAATATTATTCTTTATTGCTTCCCAAATATGCCTTTGATTTTTATACATGAGGGCTGTTGGGAATGATTCTCTCAGAGGCTTAAGCTGTGCTTTGCCTTTCATGAGAACTGAAATTATTTGGTAAGCGCCTGCTTTCGTTTTAGCTTCTAATTTTTCCCTATTTTATTTTGTACATGATATTTGTTTCAAGGTCAAAGGTTCCGTTACAGTTACTATGATGAATCCCAGGGGGAGATTTATAGATCCATTGAACATCTAGATAAAATGGTAAGTCTTTCAGGTGTGGGGTTTTAATGCTGTAAGACTTTAAAAAAATTTCAGATTAGTAATTCAGAATTTTATGTTAAAGTATACATAGACTATCAGTTCTTGCCCTATCTTTAATTAAAAGTACAAAATGCATTGTATCCTCACATGAATATTGCCTGTAAGAATAATCCCTGTTTCAGTAGAAATTTCCTTCATCATGATTTTATTTGATTAATGAGAACACCAAAAAGTAATTGGATACAAATTTTAATCCCTTTTTGGAGAAGTGTCTCAGCTTTAGGAACAGTAAGATACTAATGCCATTACTTATTGGTAAGCTGTAATAACCGTAGTGTATGATGAGATACAGACTGTAATTTCTGTTTGATGGCGACCCAAGATAACTTATTTTGACTCCTTCTGAACTGTCTTGCTGTTTTTTACGGTTTACTAAATAACTTAGTGTTTTTGTAGGTTTGGTTTGGTAGTAGGCCAAACTACTTTTTTGGAATGATCCTGGGGATTTTATGAACTAGTGGCAGAAAATATGTGGAGACATGAAATGTGTAGATAACTTAAATATTTAAGTTAAGTTGATTGAAAGTGTTTATTTTTTCAGCTATCTTTTTTTTCCTTCTGGAAATAATGAAAAATAGCCTTAGGATGATCAAATGTAGGAATTCCAGTATACATAAAATCCAGTAATTTAAATCGTGTTTGCCACACTAAAGGAATTTATACAAATACTTTAATTTATAAATTTCAGTTATGTTAAATACATATGACTTCACATTTTTCAGAACTTCTCAAAGTAAATATAAATTTAGTGAAATTAATAATTTTAAGCATAATTTAGAATCATTGGTGTATTTCTATAAAGTCTATAAATCAAATTGTATTTTGTTTTGATTTTCATTTCTCATTGATTCTAAGCATATTAAGACTTGAGTTTTGTTTCAGCACTTTGTAGCCTTAAAGTGTATTAAGAGAGGATTAAAAACTGAAGAAAGCAAAATTACTTTTATAAGTGCAAATAATTTTTCTCTTTTCATGACCTTTCCTTTTCCTATAAGTTCTTTGTTTGTTGTTTTATTTTTTAACCATTTGGATTTTATCTAATTGGAAATTTTTTACTTTAAGTGTGGAATTTAAAAATATAATTGTATTTTTACGTAACCTAGTGGTATCACAGACCTTGAACATAACTTTTACTTTTTCTTAAAGTACTATAAGAGTCATTGTTTTTAATTTTTTATCATACAAATAATTTTGGAATTAACTCATAAACAGAATATTAAATACAGTAGCATTCAGCTGGGCGTGGTTGTACATGCCTAAAATCCCAGCGTTTGGGAGACTGAGTCAGGAGGATTGCCAAGAATTCAAGGTTAGCCTGGGTTACAAAGGGAGGCCCTCTCTCAACCTCTACTCTCCAATACAACAGGAGTATCACTAATTTGCTGTATGACCTTGGACAGACCATTTTAGTTCTCTGGTTCTCAGCTTCTCATCTGTAAAATTTTTACAGATGAAAGTCTGTGGTCTGATCAAATTAACTTTATGCATGTATTTTAGCACATGATTATTTAATATACCCATTTCTTGTACTCTGAGTAACTACTTTAAATATAATAATACTCAATGTAATAACCATTGTTATTCTATTATTTTATGAAACCTTGTTCTATTTTTTCCATTAAAATGGATGTCTAATGTAGTTGAAGTTTTCTAGTAAAAAAATCTAGATCTGCGCTAACAGAAAGAATCTATAATATATTTTATTGAAGACAAATGTAAAGAGTACAAATTTTTCTATTAAGGATATTTTATTATATTTAAATTTACCGTCAGTGTTACTTTAAATCTAGTTGTTGCATAATACCTTTAGACTTCTATTTGGATTTTACTGTGTTGGCTTAATGGTATTTTCACTGCAGTTGCTTAGCTCCTTGTTGACTTCTTGTTCTAATCTTATTATTGTGAGCCTTAGTTTTCAGTTGCATTAGAAAACTTTTAGAATTGTGTCATTTATTTTCTACATAATGAAAATGCTTCGTGATTGCCTACTGATGTGTGGTACTCTCTGAAGTGTTGACAATACCGAAAAGAGGAAACGTAGTACGTTAGGGGGACTTACGTGCACTGATCCAAAGACTTACAGGAAGCCCTTATGCAGAGATGTGAGAAAGAGTTTGGAGGTAGAATGCGCTGTTACTCACTCATAAAGAAATGTGGAGGTACATTTCTGAGGAGAAAGATGTGCTTGTTCAGTTTCAGATTCGGATTTTGTGGTATGTGTGGAACTGCACTTGCCAGTCACGTGCGTTTGTGGAGGACTTGGAGTGGGGCCAGTGTCGCTGCAGATGTGGCGGAAGGGTAAGGAAAGGGGAGACAGGCAGAGTTCGTGCCTTATCAGAAGGAGTCGTGTGGGTGTCCAGAGGGGCTATGCAGCGGGGAAAGGGGGCCATAGGTCGCAGGGCCGGAGCTGGCATAGGTGGGAGGAGATAAAGGAGTCAGTAAAAAAACTGTGTTTAGGAAAACAAGAAGCTACCGCAGGAAACGGAGAGCGTTTACAGAGAGAGGAAGGGTTATCAAATGCGGTGATGAACTGAGAATCTTCTTGCAGTTTTTTTTTTTGTTGTTGTTGTTGTTTGTTTGAGACAGGGCCTTGCTACGTACTTCTGCTGGCCTTGAACTCATGTCAGTCCACTTTCCTCAGCCCCCGAGTGCTGGGATTACAGGTGTGTGCCACCACATCTGGCAAGAATCTTCTCTGAGCAGGTTCAGAACAGTAGTTTACAGTTACAGTAAAGAAGGGAAAAACTTGTCAGATGCCAAAAATTGTTCTCTACTAGTGGATTGTAGTAAGAAGAGCAGTGTTTGAGTGTTCATATCGGTTTGGTGGAGGAGATGCAGGGAAGCATAGTCAAAGCAAGCAGGGAAGTGAGGAGGACCCGAGGAGGAGTATTGGCTGTCCATAGGGGACACATAGAATATTTGTGGAGCCTAGTCATGGTGGCGCTGACATGTAGTGTCAGCACTGTGGGAAGCTGAAGCAAGGGGATTGCAAGTTGAAGCCCAGGTTGGGCTGTTAAGTGACTTAGCAAGACCTTGTCTCAAAATAAAAAAATAAAAAGAAAAAGCAAAAGCACTCGGGTGTAGCTCAGGGCTAAGGCCTTGGTTCAATCCCAGAAAAATATGTGCCTGTGCACGCGCATGCACACACACACACACAGTGGAATGCATTTAGGTTTTTTCCCTTCTCATTACAGTTTTCTTCATTTTGCCAGTCTCCCTATACAGAAAACAATATTTATTTGTTTATTTATTTTGGTACCGGGGATTGAACTCATGACCTTACACTTGCCAGGCAGGTGCTTATGCCACTGAGCTAAATCCCCAGCAGAAAATAATATTTGGAGGTTTCCAAAGTAAAGTCTTTCTGGAGGTGATTTTTAGCAAGTCTACACTAAATTTTATGATAGTAGTACTTATGAAAGTAGTACTTTCTGTACCAAACCAAGTAAAAATAACTTTAGGACTGCTCTCTCAAAATCTGTGTGTCTTAGATATTTTTCCCTCATTGTTGAGACAAAATACTCGACACCCAAGGTTAGAGGAGGAATGGTTAGCCAGGCGTGATGGTGCATGCCTGTAATCCCAGCACTCGGTAGGCTGAGGCAGGAAGATTGCTGTAAATTGGAGGCTAACCTGGGCTACCAGGTGAATCCAAGGCCAGCCTGAACCATATAGTGAAACCCTGCCTCCAACCCTCCCCCTCCCTGCCAAAAAAACGGAAAGATTTATTCAGCTTACGGTTCATATAGGTTTCATACCATAATCAGCTGGCTCCAAGGCAGGGTGGCTTGGCGGAGGAGAACAGCTCATGGTGAGTAGACTGTAGCAAAGCAACAGAGGGAAGAGAAGGGAAAGCCTGTTTTTCTGTCCTCATATTGTATGCAGGCTACCTGCCCTAGGGCGAGTGTGCACTCACATCCTTAATCCCTGTATTGGAGCTCGCTTTACTCACAAACTCTAGATTCAGCCACCTCTCAAAAGCCACCCCCTGATGACTGTGTGAAGCTTTGGAGGGGGGACATCTAGACACAAACCATAACCCCATACCACTAGCTACTTGCTTAACGTTTTCACTGGGCTGTCTTATTAACAGCTCAAACTAAACATACTGACAAATGAATTGATTTTCTTCTTGTGTTGTACTTAACACTTTTACAGTTCAGTTGATGGTGGCTTGTAGTTTTAGACTTGCTTTTCCTGTCTTTTGTCCCGAGTAACTGAAAAGCAGAAAACCCAAAACAAGCCTTTCAAAAGCTAAATAAGCTTATGTCCCTCTTCTGCTCCCAAATCCTTATAATAATGCCTCATTTCAATCAGAGTAAAGCTAGGGCCTTTATAATGAGTGACCTGTGAAGACCAACATGATTTGCAACCCACGAAGACCACTTTCTCTTGCTCTTCCCTTTCATTCACACTGCCCACGAGAGCAGTGTCCCTGCTGTTCCTTGATAACACCCTGTGTGTATCTGGCTTTTTTGGCTTTTGTGCACCTAACTGTCTCAGTCACCACAACTTGTAAACCCCCCCAACCCCATAGAGCCTCTGACCACTGTTTACCTTTGCATTCTATGATGCACCCTTTAAACATTCCCAGTCCCCCTTTCCTGCTCCACATTTTCTTCTGATGAATAATTAAAATGGTAAATGATTATTAATTTTTTTGTCAGTCAGGGTTTTTGTTTTGTTCACTAATGGCATCCAAAGGGCCTGGAGTAGTGACTAAGTACTATACTAAAGAAATACATTTTAGATAAGCGGATTGATTAATGAACATAATCTTCCTACACATAGTTAACAATTGAGCACTCTACTATAATATGAAAGTGAAATTAAAAGGAGAACAACTTAATCCAGGCACAGAAGTGCATGTCTGTAACTTCAGCACTTAGGAGGATAAGGCAGGGGGATCACCCTGAGTTTTGTTGTATTGAAGGATGTGT